TCGAAATGCTAAGTATTAACGCACTTAATGAGAAAAGTGAGTTAGGAGAATTTGATACTCACAGGACGAATACAGGGAAAAAGAGACAATAGAAAACAGCGTGTGACATAGCTGGCGGATTTGGGTAGGTAGATGACAGAACGTGATCTGGGGAAGGAAGCAGAGGGAAAGAATTTGTTAAAAGCTGCAAGGGATAGAGGGAGGTGGAGAGCCATGATCGCCTACGCCCTGAAAGAATATGGCACATAGAAAGAAAGACTGGACAGTTCGAATCGTTCAATATTATGTCAAATCGAAGTATCGGAACGCTAAGTTTTAACGCAAGTAATGAGAAAGGAGGGCTTGTAGAATCTGATACTCACAGGTCGAATACAGTGAAAAAGAGACAATGGAAAGCATCGCGTAAAATAGCTGGCGGTCTTAAGCAAGCAGATGGCAGGACCTAGTCTGGGGGAGTTGGCAGAGACACGGACCATATTGAGAGCTACATGGGATAGAGGAAAGTGGAGAGCCATGATCGCCTACGTCCTAAAAGGACACGGAACATAGAAATAAAGAAAGAGGTTTTTTCGATGATAGCTAGGTCAATAGATAGTTGAATTGTTTCTACGGCTTATGAAACTTTTGCAGGTCATTAAATGCCAGAAAATATTTTTAGAATGTAAGAATTTTTTTTTGAGATAATAATTGTTTAGTGATAAAAGAGTTACTGATTAACCTATAGCTCGGGGAGAAGTGTTGGATTCATACCTCCCTTAAGGGCTTTTACGCAGGAATGAATATAACAGACCCGACGGGAACTGAAACTCAGTTCGCCGATTAACAATTCCGAGTTATTATTTATTACATGCCACGCACAACCAAGCTTAGAGCACCTGGTAATCCCAGGTAGATAGATAGGGAATGGTGACTGTCTGTTTCCCACTTCAAAAGATCTTCAGATTAGTGAGAGTGAAACTAACACACACACACACACACACACACACACACACACACACATATATATATATATATATATATATATATATATATATATATATATATATATATATATATATATATATATATAGAGAGAGAGAGAGAGAGAGAGAGAGAGAGAGAGAGGCACGGTGGAGTAATGGATAGCGGCTTGGATTGGGAAATCGGAGAGCCGAGTTCGAATTCAGTCGAATCCATTACTTTCACTTACGTGCTAATACCTTTGGGAAAGGTGTTAATCCTCTTCTTCTTGTCCCTCCACCTATGGGCAATTAGCAGGACAGACTGGATTCTATAGCCTTGGATGGCAACTGGTCTAGGAGGGTCGTTTGGGCCAAGTCTCTGTATTCGGCCATTCAAAAAGTGTGGATGGTTCTGCACGAAAACTTCAACATTATATCAAATCTCATGTACTGGTGTCGAGGGGTCAATTTCTGCTTGACCCTCATACTTCGAATTCGACAGGAGAGTCGACTATATATATATATATATATATATATATATATATAACTTTAAGTCAACAAATGACATGTATTGAACTTACAACTCTTTGGGTCAATTCACTGCATCCAATCAATGCTTTTATCTACTGGGCAATGTGCCCTCAATGGCATGAGTGCAGCACTTTTGGGGACTTATATACTTAATGTCTCAGTAATCATTTTTTTTTACCAGAGCTCATCCGTAAGCGGTATAGGTCGTGACACTAGAACAATCTACATCTAAACATTACGAACAATGTAAATAGTGTAAATAATTACAATACCTCATCTCAGAAAGAACATAGCATGAAGAAAAAGACGCCAAACTTGACGAAAACAAAATTTTATCGTTTAAATGTTTATGTTATTATTAAGAGGAGAGATCAAAGTATTTTGGGGATATTTTTTTACATTTTTTAATCGTTTCTAGCACGTCCGAAATTTTCGTTAAAAATCTTGTTTTTTTTTTGAGTCAGCAAAATTTAACACTTTTTTCCATTTTATAAAAAAACTGAAAATCTCCCTTTGAAATTCTTTTAAATATCAATTATCATTTTTTCAAAACCAGAAATTATAATGTTTATTTAAAATATTTTCAACCAAACTTAACTTAGCTTTTGCACCGAAAAGATATAATCTGAAAATAAAACAAAGCAGGTCATAAACTTTCGCGTCACTTGACAGGTGATGAATGACATATTGACGGATTCCGTGAGGATAATTTGTTCTACGGAAGGAGAAAAGTGAAATTATTTACATTTAAGTTTACCTGATTAGTTTTAAAGAAAACTTTCAGCGCTCTAATCTTTTTTGTTTTTTGTACTTAGCTTTCACCTTTACGTTTACGATGCTTTATGGAAAAATATATTATAAAGAAATTAAAATGAGACTGTTAAGAGTGAGATTAAATTTCATATTTCATAAGAAAGGTATCTAATTAATTTATAGACGCCTTTCTTATGAAATTTTATCAGAAGTGTACATAAAATAGTATAATTTTATGTACATTTATTACATCTTACTGTGTTATTTGTATTTCCATTCATTTTATTATTAATTTTGATATTTCATTTATGGAAAAATGTCATAACTGAGATTAATATAAAAATAATATCATATACATGTCATAAGATGATACTGATACTTGTAGGTACCCTTCTCAGTTGAAATTGAAAAATCAAATTAACTTCTCCACAGGTGTTTCGCAAAAGTAAAGGCCTTAACAGCGGAGAACAATGCTTAATTCAAATAACGCAACTTAATTATATTCTAGTTGATCTTCCGTATTTTATAATTACAGCCCGATTATAAACACAAAATTACATTTCTTAATTACTGCAGATCTTCTGATTAGTCAAAATGATACAATTTACAACGCGCTAAAAAAAAAGGACACTTAGGAAACCCGATGCGGCTTTTAACTAATTTTATAATATTTTAACAACTTAAATGTAAAAATCTATTATAATTAAAAAATAACAAATAATTGTATTAAAAATTCATTTTTCATCGAAAAATGTTTTGCTTTCAGAAAATATTGTCCATATTCATAAAAACAACGAAAAGCAAATAAAAGCATTTGAAATTAAATGTTTATTTATTTGTTTTATTGAGTTTTGTATGTTACAATTCAGAGCTGATTTTCAGGTAGTGGGGGGTGTCCAATTAAAAACAAAAAAAATGATTTGCATTCCTCAATGCCTTGTGCTTTTAACTATTGTAATCACTAAACCTGACGCGATCGAATTTCTAGTGTTTTCAAAATTAGTTATGGGAGGGGTGTAATAAATATTAAAAAAAATATTTCTGCCATGACTTTAATTAAAAAAAACATATTTGTAATAATTTCGATTATTTGTGAATAGTTTCTGAAAGTTTCATTAACATCCGACAATTATTTTTATTTTTGCAAAATTTTCCAAATTAATGTGTGTCACACAAAAAAACGTGCTAAAAATTGTATATGTTGTTTTACTAGTTATGATGCAAAGAGAAACAAGTTTTTATTTAATCAAAATGTACAATGTTCTAAAAAGAAGGAGAAATTTAAAAAAATAATTAAAATAAACTTTGATCTTTCCTCTTAATAATAATATAAACATTTAAACGATAAAATTTTGTTTTCGTCAAATTTGGCGTCTTTTTCATCATGCTATGCTCTTTTTTATCGATCTCATGGTGGTACCTATTTGTTTAAAATTATAGCAATATATTTGTGTGTGCGTGTGTATGTGTCTGTGTTTGGGAATAAAATGGTAAAACTAGTTTTATGGGTAAAAGTGCTAATAGCAGAGGTCGAGCGTATGTATATAAATATATGAAATAAACGCTAGGGTTTATATCAAGCCGCGACAGCCTGTTTCATTTTTGGACGCAATGGGTGTTTAAGCATATTTCAAATTTTCTAGATATGAAATAGAGATTAAAGCGTTGAGATAGATATATAGATAGATATAAACAGATAGATAGATAGATAGATAGATAGATAGATAGATATAGATAGATAGATATGAACATATGAATGATGAATGACAGATGAATAGACTGAGATAGATAGATAGATAGATAGATAGATACAGACTGAGATAGATAGATAGATAGATATGAACAGATGAGATGATAGAGAGAGATAGAGATGAATAGACTGAGATAGATAGATAGATATAGATTGATAGATAGATACATAGGTAGATAGATAGATGAACAGACTGAGATAGATAGATAGATAGATAGATAGATATGAACAGACTGAGATAGATAGATAAATAAGATAGATAGATTTAGATAATGAACAGACTGAGATAGATAGATAGATATGAACAGATTGAGATAGATACATAGATAGATAGATAGATAGATAGACTGAGATAAATAGATAGATAGATAAATAGATAGATAGATAGATATGAACAGACTGAGATAGATCGATAGGTCGATCGATAGATAAATAGAGAGATAGATATGAACAGACTGAGATAGATAGATAGATAGATAGATAGATAGATAGATAGATATGAACAGACAAAGAAAAAAAAGAAAGAAAGAATGGCGGATATGCAGGCGTTCTTTGTTTGGGTTAGAATCAGTATAATTGGAAACCCAGAGAGAATCGACCTGACTACACAAGAAACTGCACCCAAGACGTGCTTGCTAAAACTCACTCGACACTAAACGTGCCAGGTTATTTATTGATAAAAGCTTTTTTTATATCCTTTCTTGGATGAATTCAGATGAAAAGGTGCATGGAAAATATTATGCTGTAGCATCAGTCATCCAAATGGTGATGGTTTCGCTACATCGAACATCGTTATTGAACAACTTGGTTTTTACTGGAGCTATAATACCGATCAAATACGCAGACATCACTGCAGCAGAGTCATAACCATCTTATATATAAAGTACAGTGTATGTGTTTGTGTCCAAACAAATCCTCCGCTCCCACTGGTCCGATTTCAATGATTCAAAGCTCATTCAAAAGCCCAAGAAATGTTAGGTGCAGGGAACGATTTCTGTTGAGTCAGATTCAGGGTTGCCAGTTTATGCGAGGTTAAAAATATATATTAATACATTATACTAGCCATTATCGTTGCTTTCAAGATTCAAGGGGAGTAAGTCTAATTTTAACTTTTTGTATCTAAAATTACAGCAGGTTTAAAATTTTAAGATAGCTTAAAAGCCGCCCTATATTGTAACGAATGAATGGGTCGTAAATCCGATTAACTAAGAATAAGATAGCTAGTGATGACCAACCTTGATCAGCTCCCCGCTTTTTTAGGCCTTGTGCCACAATTACTGTATCAGTATTAAATATTAGACGAGCAACGTTTGATGCTGTTTGTTTTTATGAACGTTTGAACTGATAAGCACAAGAATCTGTTATTTAAGTGAAAAGACAAGATTAAAAAAGAGACAATCTGCATTGGAATTACGTGGTTTTCCATTCCCCGCCCTCGTTCAGCACAAGTTTTGCCCGACATGTTTGTGGAATTTTAACTTTTGAACTCTATGGAAGAACTGAATTAAGTCAATCTTTTTAATTATTTCTTCTTCTTTTTTTTTTGTGAAACATTTTCGCAGTCTCATTTTCAGTTTTCTTTTCTTGTTTCTGCTGAGAGGTGGCGTTAGAATCTAGGCCTAGAATGGCTGGATGCTGGAAGTTCAATCTATCTTTGCTGAATAGGCGGGACTTCCGGAAACAGCTGATTGTAGCGTAGTGAAGCGGAAACTAATGTGGGTGGGGAGTTATTGGGAATAGGTGGTGGGAGAGGATTAAGGATAGGATTAAGTCTTTCACCATCGAATATAGCCAACGGCGCGCACTAGATTAAGACTAAATAGGTGTAGTCTTTTAAGGATAGTCTTTCCAGGGTGGTGGCTGTAGAGAATTCCCTAGAGATAGACCGGCTCTGTGGCGAGCGCTACCAGGGTCAGGATGATAGGCAAGTTAAACAAGATGTCTGGCGAATGCGTGAATATGGGCGCAAAATTGCGCAAGGAAGAAATCCGTGAAGATTCTGATCGTTACATTCGGGAGGTCGGAGGGGCGTACTCTGAGGTTGACCTATGGCATCTGTGAGGCGTTTCGGCGGCATTTCGGGAGCCGCTTTAGCAGGCAGCCTGGTCTCTGTGACGAAGAGTTTCGCAGCTATTTGGATGATTTTCCTCGGCTTGAGCCAATTGAAGCGGCTAGCTGCGAGGGTGAGATCAGGGAGGTCGAAATATACGCTGCATTGAAGAGAGTCGGCAGTGGCAATTCTCTCGGACCATGATTTACCCCATGAATTTTACTTGAGGATGTCGCTCATCTTTGTTCCGATTTTGACTGCCGTGTTCAACAACTGGGCTTCGTCACTGACCGGATCTCCGGGGGCGTGTTCACGCAGTTTAAAAAAGACATAAGTGTTGGGCGGGATTTAGATAATTACAGACACATAACTCTGCTAAACACAGAGTTAAAGATTTTCGCCAAGATCCTGTCGGAGTGTTTACAGTCAGTTGCCGAGATCCTGTTGGACACAAGCAGACTTGTTCTGCGAAGGGTCGAACAATCCAGAGGAACCTGCATCTAATTTGCACGATCCTAGAGGGTGTAAAAGACGACTATCTAGCCTCGCCAATCAATTTGGATCAGTCCAAGGCATTTGATTGGGTCGGTCATCGGTACCTTGCTGCAGGCCGACAGATACAAACCCGACTTATGCGAGTGTATCGCTTCCACAGTACTGTGAGTACGGTTCATCAGAGTTGCCCATTGTCGCCTCTATTTTATGCTTTGGCGTTGGAGCTCCCTCCTTCGCAGGCTCAGAGACAGGTCGTTCAGTCAGGCCCTACGTGGAATCAATGTACCTGGTGGGGCTCGAGCCAGGGTTTCTGCGTACGTCGATGACGTGTCAACTTTCGTGTCATCCCGCAGCGACATTGAGGTGGTCCTGAAGGCGCTTGATCGGTACGAAATGTCCAGGTGGGGAGGGATCCAGATTAACCGCGACAAATCTTGCAGTTTGGACGGGGCAGTCCGCATTATCGAAGTGAAATTCAGGCCCAGACTTTAGCGGGAAAAACCTGGTCAGAAGTATAGGCAAAAGTCGGCGCGTCGGTCGAGTTTTGGCCCCGACTCGGTTGACTTTGAAGGGTAGGATTGTGGCGTGGGCCACTTACGTCTTTCCTCTCATCCTTTACCGGTTGGCTGTATTTATTCTCCGTAAGGAACATAAGAAGTCCGCTGAGCGCTTGCTCTCTTCTCTCTTATGGGGTTGCTACAAGCATCAAATCGACAGAAATGTCTGTGCCCAACGTACCTGTCATGGTGGGCTGGGAACTCAACAATTCGGGAGTCACCGACACGCCTCGATATTGGCTTTCCTACACCGCACGTTAACAGAGTATTCGATCTTGAGGGGAAGTGTGAGGGACGCATTCCCCCGTCTTACTATCACTCCTCAGGTGTCGAGGGGTGAGTGCAATCGTAGGCCCATCGCGATCAGTCGGATTTCCTCCTCGAGTGCCGATCGGCCTTGAGGGTCATTCCTCAGTCTAATAACCCTTCTCGGACTAGGCAAATCGTGTATCTGGAATTATTCCGGTATTTCTGGTCTTGGGCGCCAGCAGCATATTATCTCAGCAACTCTGAGTTTTTGCTTACCTGGCGACTTGTTCGTTATCGGCTATCTCTTAATGACGTAGCGTTAAAATGGGGCTTGGCTGTCAGCGATATGATCTTGGCTTAGAGGAAACGGCTTAGCACGCCTTCTACCATAGTCCTCGAATGCGTCCCCTTTGGGGCTGTGTCGGCGTGCTGACGGCCTGTATCGCTCCCGAAAAGTACGCGTGTGACAATGTGTCACGTCTGGATTCTGGGGTGAAACGGATGGTGTTTCTAACACTGTTGTCCACGGATCGAACGGTGATTTGGACGACGCGAATGGAGGAAACCTTGAGATCCAATCGCTATTCTCATCAGGTTCTGATCAGATTCTTTCAGGATCAGCTCATAATGAAGATTAGAACTGATAGAAATAGCTTGATATCGAAAGATTTCAACGAAAGGTAGGTAAGTGCAGCGAGCCTGTTTTGCCCGAAACTTGATTTTCATTTTTAAGTCACCCTAATTCACAACCGGGCGATATCCTGAGGAACCCTCCCCTTGTTAATATAGACTCTTCCAAGTGTACCTAATTAATGTGAATAATGTTGTTCCCGGTTTCTGCTTTTTATATGATTCAAGTCGACATTCCCAATCTCCTTAATGTCTTGTGGCCCTCCCTTTTCACCTCGATTGGGTCAGTTTTTAAATTTTCTAATACTTATAATTTTTTTATATTTTCCCTCTCCCTTAGCGAGAGAGACTCTTGATTTTGTTGGAAGGCAGAATACAGCGCTCATTCTTATTTTCGTGGGGTCATCATCGCCCACCCATCATTTCATTCATTCATATATATATATATATATATATATATATATATATATATATATATATATATATATATATATATATATAAGGCAGGCTGTTGTGTGTGTGTAACGAATGCACGGCCTCAATTTTCAACGGATTTGCACCAAAATGTACATGCACATGCTCCAAGTTAGCGGGAAGGCCAAGACCGACCTTGCATTTCCCAACTCCCATCGATAGCGGAAATAATCGATTTTTTCATGCTTCTACGGCAGTTTTCATGTAGTTTGTGGCCATTTTTACTGGCCAGAGTGAGAGCCAATAGCTGGCTTACACGAATAGGCAGGAAGATTCTATTGGCCAGCGTGAGAGCCAACAACTGACTGACATGAATGCTAACTAGCATGCAAAAAAAATCGATAGCTGCATTCGTCACAAGCGGGAAAAATTAAAATCTGCATGGCACTTTACTCCAATTGGCTCTTTCGCTTGCTTAAAATCAACGTTGATTCTGATTCCGCAGAATTGGGTTGTGTGTAAAAAAGTATTTGTTGTTAACATTCTTTTTTTATTCGGTTTTTCCAGTTACGTGTCTTCTTTTGAAGCTGATCGTTTTGTGTGTAGTAATGATACAATATGTTAATACAGGAGGATATAGATCCAGGGAGAGCTTTAAGTCAAAAGACAGAGCAAAATTATTATTAATTAAAGAATACCAAACGCTTAAAATCCCATATGTAATAATATTTATTTCATAAGAGTTCTAAAAAAGCAGGTCTTAAATGACATACTAATCTGAGGCCAGTATATTAAAATAGGTCAACACTCTTTTTCCACTCTATAAATAAGATAGCACTATCTCTTGATTTTAATCTGGAGTAAAAAATACTCCAGATTAAAATCAAGAGATAGTGCTATCTTTTCATTTCATTTGTGATTTTATTTAAAGGTCTTGAAAATTAAGAGCTGCCTTTTTTAGAGCTCTCACGAAGTAAAATTATTATCTATGGTATGTTAAGTGTTTAATATTCTTTAACTAATATATATATATATATATAAAGACATTTTTTATATCTATACGTTCTTTTTATAGATACAGATATTTAAGTAAATGCTCTGTTTATAATATTAAATATATTATAATACTTAAATATTTGTATCTATAAAAAGAACGTATAAACATAAAATGTCTTAAAATATATATATATATATATATATATATATATATATATATATACATATACTATACACAATTGTACATATTGGGATTTTTAATTCATCGGGTGTTTTTCCACCCAGTAGTTACCAAATGTGTATAAGGTATATTTGAAGTATGAAGTAGCGAATGGTGACAAACAAAATTCTTTTGTTGAATGAACATATTGTAAAGAATGATTGGATCGTAAATCCCATTAGCTAGGTATGAGTTAGTGATGATCAACCTTTAACAGCTCCCCGCTTTTATAGGCCTTGTGCTAGAATTACTGTATCAGTAATAAATCTTAGACAAGCAACGTTTGTACAAAGACTTATCATTTTTTTAAAGATTTATATATTATTACATTTGAAAATTAAAAATACTATGGCTTGAAGAAACGCATTCTATTGAAATATTGTTTGATATTGTCTTTTTCTTTTCTTAAATCACGCTCTTCTCTTAAATGTTGAAAAATATTGAAAGAGTTACGTTAATCATTTTGTTTAATAACAATAATAATAACATTAAAACACAGGTCCCCGTAGGATCGCCGAAGTTAAGCAACGTCGAGGCTTATCAGTACATTGATGGGTGATCGTTTTGGAATATCAGGTGCTGTAAGCTTTAGTGTTGTAATGAATAATAGCTCTTAATTGTTAATACAGTTATCGTTGAGTTCGTTATATTCACTTAGGCGCAAATACAATTGGGAAAGGTATGAGGCCACTTCTTCTTCCCTATCTATGGGTTAATTAGTAAGTATTGAGATGTTGTGAGTTTCCCGCGTGTCGGTGTATGAATCAAGACAAACACAGTTGTAGAGGAAAATACTGGTATATTGGTAAAAGCAATTAACAGTAGAGTGATTAGTAGAACGAAGGTTGGTTAGTAAGAAACAATATCCAAAGTCTATAGTCCAACGGTATGTAACGGTTAACCTTATCTGGACTGCGGTCGCTGACGCTCTCCCGTCCTCTCTCTAGAGCTGACTTATATAAGAGGGACCAGTCCATTTCTAGTTAGAAGGTGGGTGCGCCCCAACAGTAAGACTTGTATCACTAAACCATTATTAGTCAATAAAACTCTTACACATTAAATAACCTGGAAAGGGTTGTTATGCCGTAGAAAACGAATCTATCAATCAAACACTCCTATCGGAGTCTCTATATTTTTCCTTTCTACGTCTGATATCAACTTTGTGATATCAGCATATCTAATGTTGCTAAGATTGGAGAGGCTGTTATGCTGCGTAACGGGGTCAAACCATGACATCTTTCAATGCTTAATGGTGGCGAGGAGAGATTCCTGTCGGCCCACGCGACTTTTGATCTTCCCCCATTAATAGTCATTGGTTTTGTTCTGCCAGTAGGAAATCCAAAAGTGCTTTCTCAATCATTTCTTCTCGAAAGCCTGGATCCTTTTTTTTCTGGCACAAAACGGTGTGTACAATTCTCACATCCGTAGGGAACAATGGATACGACCAGTGATTTTTAGAGCTGAACTTGGTATGGCAGCTGAGGTTGTCCTTCCATATACTTTCCATCCTGGCCAGTCTTTGGAGATCCGTGTCTTTTTATAATTCCGTATATTTTAAAATCTGTGTATTATTTAAAGTGTAAAGAAAATAAATCTTAATCTTAAAGCAGTCTTAACTCAAAAAGTAGTTTCCCAGATACAAAAAAATATTGAATGCAGGTTAGATCCCCATCGGGAAACCATTTCTTTAATTCAGTCTCTAGGCATTTAACATTAATTTCAATGTTTTAAACAATATGGACGTCTATTCAGATTTTCATTCGTAAATGTGTCAGTGTTTAATTTTTAAAGACGGTATCTCATTGCCGTTAAAGACGGTATCTCATTGCCGTTAATGACGGTATCTCATTGCCATTAACGGTGACGTTCCGTCGTGAAGCAGATGTGAACTGTGATCCGAAACAATGTCTACGTAGTTCCCGACACGACGAACATCTTTTGTTATCTTACTGCATTCCAAATGTGGAATTTCGCTTTATCAGATTTACATTTTGCTGACAGCACCTAGTAAGCGATATACACCCACATACACAGATATATATACACACGCACACATCCATCTCTCTATCTATCTGTGTAGATATATATATATATATATATATATATATATATATATTGACACTTAGAGCCGAAACGGAGAAAACAGAGGGAAAAAAAAATTGTGTAGGTGTATAAGGTGACAAGAAAATAAAGAAAATAGGAAAATGACCGCGGCATTCTACACATATGCACAGGCGTACACACCCACTTGCACATACATACACACGCGCGTGCGAATACACACACACACACACACACACACAAAGAAGAAGAAGAAGAAGAAGAAGAAGAAGAAAACTAGATCTAACACCAATAAAAAGCGTATTATTTTAAAAAATTTCTATAAAAATAACGAAAAATATGAATATCGGCAGTCAATGGCCGAAATCTCCTGACGAGTGGACCGAACAATTACGAGAAGGTTCGTCGACGAATCTCTGGAGTCGTGGTGCTGAATATAACATCAATCAGCTACGTAACAAATGATACATTTGTATTAATCAAAGATAGATAGATAGATAGATAGATAGATAGATAGATAGATAGATAGATAAGAAGACTAGGTTAAATAATTCTGATGTTAAAACACAGCCTATTTTACTTTTTAGGCATAGCCATTTATTTACCAAAATACTCCTCTTGGAACCACATCCACTTATCCTAGCGTTCACTCTTTTTTTATCACAGTCACTTGTCTCGTTACGCTCTCCTTAATCTTGTTCACAGTCTGAAGTATCATTTCTTCGGCTCGATTATGCTATAAGATAGAGTCGAGATATTCAAAAATGGATGTATACATTCAGGACAGCAGAGGACAACAAGGCTGCTTTTGTTGTTTACAAAAATCAGTAGAGAAGAGTGTCGGCTGTATTATGTCATGTCAGTGTGGGTGACAATTTAAAATCATGTAACCACCCTTGGAAATCTCCTTCACATTTTCGAAACCCCTCTTAAGATGCGTCGAAATTGTTGAAATGGGGACTTCAGATTCTTGATGTTTATGCGACGATTCTCTTCGAGACCTTCGCTTGATTATTTGCCGCTTCAGAATCTCAAAGCAGTTTGCCTTTGCGTCCTGTACGTTCATAACGAAACTTTAGAATTCAACGATGCAGAATGAGTTTAGAAGTGGTTCTTCAGATGTGACAAAGGTGTTTGCAGGTGGATTGTCGAAGTTTTGAATTGATACAAGAATCAGAGATATAGCCTTAGAATTTTGTGCTTCGTGATTTTGAGATATGGTATATGCAAAATAGGTACTTGTTACTTGAGAATCAGAGTATTAGTATGCTAAAATTTGATTTTGTAGTTTGTTGGTAATCTCTCTCCTTTCTCCTAGTAATAGATAGCGGCTCAGATTGAGTAATCGGAGTGCCGAGTTCGAATTCCAGTCGAATCTATTACATTTATACCCTTCTTCTCGTTCCAAGCTATGGCTATCGTCTTTTCATTGTTAAACTCATTAAGTTCAATTGACTAAATATTAACGCGCTGCCTGACGGCATTAAGGTCACGTCAATCCAGGGGTGAGGCCATCTTGACGCCTGATGTTTCTCTTTGCAAAAGGAAGAGAGAATGTACTGAGATTTCTATGATACCATCGAGTATGTTGGAGGAGAAATTCTAATTGAGAGAGAGTGAGAGAGCAGAAGAAAGATAGAGAGGACAGAAGAGAGATAGAGAGAGAGAGAAGAGAGAGAACAGGGGAGAGAGAGCGCAGAAGAGAGATAGAGAGAGCAGAAGAGAGAGAGAGAGAGAGCAGAAAAGAGATAGAGAGAGCAGAAGATAGAGAGAGTAGAAGAGAGAGATCAGAAGAGAGATAGAGAGATGAGAAGAGTGAGAGAGGAGAAGAGAGAGCAGGGGAGAGGGAGAGCAGAAGAAAGGGAGCAAAAGAGAGGGAGCAGAAGAGATACAGAGAGCAGAATAAATAGAGAGCAGAAGAGATAGAGAGAGGAGAAGAGAGAGACGAAAGAGAGAGCGCAGAAGTGAGAGAGATCAGAAGAGCGATAGAGAGAGCAGGGGATAGGGAGAGCAGGGGATAGGGAGAGCAGGGGATAGGGAGAGCAGGGGATAGGGAGAGCAGAAGAGAGAGCAGGAGAGAGAGAGCAGAAGAGATAGAGAAGAGCGAACAGGGGAGTGGGAGAGCAGAAGAGAGACAGAGAGGGCAGAAGAGAGAGCAGGGGACCGGGAGAGCGGAAAAGAGAGAGAGGGAGTAGAAGAGTGAGAGAGAGAGAGAGAGAAGGAGAGAGATCAGAAGAGCGATAGAGAGAGCAGAAGATAGAGAGAGGAGAAGATAGATAAGGGGAGTGGGAGAGCAGAAGAGAGATAGAGAGAGCAGAAGAGATAGAGAGAGCAGAAGAGAAGGCGTAGAAGAGAGAGATCAGAAGAGCGATAGAGAGAGCAGGGGAGAGGGAGAGCAGAAGATATAGCAGGAGAGAGAGATCAGAATAGAGATAGAGAGAGAAGAAGAGATAGAGAAGAAGAGAGATCAGGGGAGTGGGAGAGCAAAAGAGAGAGAGAGAGCAGTAGAGAGGGTAGAAAGAGAGCAGAAGAGACATAGAGGATGAAAGAAAAAGCTGGGATGATGAAAACAGAAAAACTGTCGAGAGTGGGAAAGATTGAATTTTCCAACGATTAACATTAATGTAATAACATTATTGATAATGATCATGTCCGTACTGGAGACATATAAAAAAGAAAGCTAAGTATGGAAGGTCGGTGGATAACGGCTTCGACTGAGGAATCGGAGTGCCGAGTTCGAATTGCAGTCGAATCCATCACATTCACTTACGTGCTAATACCCTTGGTAAAGATACGAATCCTCTTCTTCCCATACCCTAGCTATGGGCAAATAGCAGCACAAACCGGGTTCTATAGCCTTGAATGGCAACTGGTCTACCGCAGAAAGAAATGGCAACCTAATGCAGGAAAAAATCTGTTTCGTCAGTATCGAAAGATACATGATCGCCTAAGTGTGTCTCACGCATGGCACACAACTGACTGATGTAATCTCTAAATATTCGAAATAACGTTATGACCAGTGAGAATTCGTACTGGGTATGACGATAAATTACATCTGGCAGCAAGGCCTTTGATCGGGAGGTTCTGAGGAGCGTGGAAACGTCTCTAAATTGCTATTGTTCCCAGGTCCACCCTGACATGGAATGGTAGCGCCTTTTGGGGTTCCAACTATGAGCAAATAGGTAACACTATGAATGTATAAAAATATATTTTTATAGTAAAATTACTATCATTTTGAAAAATATACCAGCAATATATTTGGCCCTCGACAAAAAAAACCCCTCTCTTTTACAAAAATACGTCAATGGAACTTAATTTACAAACAAATTTCTTACAAAGAATACATAAATTCTATTTATAGAAACCTATGCTAAAAATCTTGTCGGCATTAAGTAACACATTGAGGTTAATATGACATAAAACAAAATAAGCCAAGCCAGTGAAAATAAATGGTAATCGTAACGTTAGTATTAGCCGTTTCTTTGTAAGGAAATATTTGGCATACATTCAGTCAGCGGCACAATCATTTGAAATTTATAAAATCTCTCTTAAAAATATTTGTCTATATTTCTGAGATGAGGTATTATGTACATTATTTACATTATTCGAACTATTGTCCTCATCTTTGTCGCCATACGTGGAGAACTTTCAAAGGGAAATTAACAAGAGATAACTAATAACTGACATCCATTAAACATGGGACGTGGAACTAGAACAGTCTATCCCAGTGAGCGAAATAAAGGGTTCAGTTCGACATTCCAACCATCTGAAGAAGACCGGAGCGTACAACGGCCGAAACGTTGTCATAAATATGGCGACAAAGATGAGGACAATAATCCGAATAATGTAAATAATGTTAAAAATATTTTTCTGGAAAATTTTCGTTTCTCCAGTTCCAAGGTTATTATCCTTCTTCCCAACATATTTTATTTGAGGTAGTGGCAAAAGTCAACCTCTCATGTCATAAGTTTTTTTTCTTCGAGTAATATGTGCTATGCATTTTATTTGTTGCTGCTATTGAAAGTCCTCAAGTGATTTGTTATCTATAATCTGGTACGTTGTCGGTTGTGATTCTGTAACGCCAGTCTATAAGGAAGGAGAAGAAGGATGGCTCTCGCCAGGACACACACTCGCTCAGAGGTATTTTTAGGTTTCATTCAAACCTGCATTTAGATAATAAATATAAATACGTAGTAATAAATAGATTTATCTTAAAATAGCATTTTCAGCCGTGCCATTGAATTAAAATATACACGTGCAAACAAAAGCATATATATATATATATTATAATTATTAAAAAAAAAAGATTCCTTCGCTACATAAGAGTTCTCATGTTTCAAAAACAAGAGCCGAAAACCTCAATATAATTATTAAAATTAAATTGAATTAAAGTGTCAAGCACTGTTTCCTCCTCAAGCGAAAATTTAGGAATCTAAGTGTTGGCTTTAATTTTTACTTTTATATATACACACTATCTCAGATATTGAGCACTTTATCCTATAAATACAGCACACCTTAAGAGTATATTTCTTAATATATATATATATATATATATATATATATATATATATATATATATTAAGAAATATATATTTCTATATATATATATATATATATATATATATATATATTAAAAATATACTCTTAAGGTGTGCTGTATTTATATATATATATATATATATATATATGTGTGTGTATATATATATATATATATGTGTGTGTGTGTGTGAAAAAGTGTATATAAATATAAATATAAATATATATATGTATAATTAGCCAAAATGTTTAGAGTTTGTCTGACGATCGCTAAAGCGTGAAACCCATGGTCACAAACTCACATCTATCCAACCAAATATATATATATATATATATATATATATATATATATATATATATATATATATATATATATATATATCAATGTTGAACTTTCTCCTGATTGGATATTCCAACAAGATAATGATACTAAGTACACTGCACAATCTACGAAGAAATGGCTTGCTGAAAATAATGTAAATATCCTGAAATGCCCAAGTTCGTTCTCAGATTTAAACCCAATCGACAATCAAAAGCTCTAACAAATATCTCGGATCTGAAGACAATATGCGAAGAAGAATGGAACAAAATACCAACTAAATTTGCAAATCATTAATTGAGAACTACAAGAAGAGGTTGGTTGTTGTAGAAGTGAATAATGGCTATTCTACAAAGCATTAAATGAAGATTATGTATTCTTTTTTTGTATTGTACGAATATTTTTTACCTATTAAAATGGATAAATAAAATTTCGATCTATTAAATCATTTGTCTTTGGTTTTCTATGCATTTTTATTTATTATGCATCTGTGTACAGTTAATTATATGAAAAGTATGCTTATTCATTACACTATTTACATTATTCGAACTATTGTCCTCATCTTTGTCGCCATATTTATTACAACGTTTCGGCCTTTCAGTATTTGTGTATATTTCTGAGATGAGGTATTCTGTACACTATTTACATTATTCGAACTATTGTCCTCATCTTTGTCGCCATATTTATTACAACGTTTCGCCTTTCAGTATCTGTGTATATTTCTGAGATGAGGTATTCTGTACACTATTTACATTATTCGGACTATTGTCCTCATCTTTGTCGCCATATTTATTACAACGTTTCGGCCGTTGTACGCTCTTGCCTTCTTCAGGTGGTTGGAATGTCGAACTGAACCCTTTATTTTGCTCACTGGGGTAGAATTTTCTAATAAATGCGATATATCAAACGGGCAAACATTTTAGAGTTTAAATATTAAGTTTAGAGATTAAATTACCTTGTAGAAAGCGAAGCGACAATCCGTAACTAATCAAATATTACTGTGGACTGTATCTCTGGGATTTATTTATAACTAGTTTAAAAGCCACATTCCGTGCTGAATTTTAACTTGTTCCTGTAGAGGACGAATTAGGTCACCGGTCAAAAACTAAAGGAACTTCTGCTCCAGCTTAGAAAACAGCAATGATCATTTTGAAGAAATAACTTTCAATTCCTTAATTCAATCTATGGAACTTCACTTTAACTCTAATTCGAGCCATGTCCAATTCCGACCAAAAGACAGATTCCGGCCGAAATTCCAATTGAGGCCGAAAATTGAATTCTTCAAATCACAAACTCTGCGAAACTTCAAAACTTCACATCACGAAACATCTAACTCTGATTTCTTGGCATTTTGAAAAAAAATAAAATTGATTTCCTCAATTCAAAAAGGTTTGGAGATATTTTAAACTGAATTTAAAAAAAAAAAAAAATTAAATTCACAAAATTTATGTGTTACTTTAAACTCAATATAAATCAAAAGCTTTTAAAATCAGTAATTTTTGAGAAGTTATTTTAAAATTTGAATTTTCTTATGATTCCCTTCTCATCCGAACAAAAATCCCAATGCTGGAGGTTCAAGAACCAGATAAACGGCAGATTTTCAACCCTGATAATCCTGATTCCAAAAAAGTGTGGCCCGAGTTAGAGGCGTTTCAGGCACACTGACGGTCAGACAGATTTTGCCGTTTACCATGACAGATAGATCCAAAGGCTCATTGGAATTGCGACTGTCTCCTTGAATTCGCTCACTCACAGTTTATACTACATTTGTGAAGCTTTACGAAAAAGAAATATCGACTTAACTCCTGTCTATTAAGAAAGCTGTTATTGTTGATTTAATAAGCAATGTTTGAATTTTAGCTTTCATCTAGACTCGAACGCCGACAAATTATGTTAATACAATTTCAAGAAGACGATATAAGTTGTCTTTTTTCATTACTAAAACAATTAATATTTAGGGGATTTTATCATTTCTATTTCTTGCTAATCAGACAATTTCCAAATTTATTCTAAAATAATTGACAAAAAAATAGCAAACTTTATCTTCATCTTTATTGTTATATTCACGACGTTTCGGCATTTGTACGCTCCGGTCTTCTTCAGGGTATATACGTGGGATTTTGAAACGTGCGAATATATACATGGAATACTTTGAGGAAATGGCATTAAAATCTATATCTCTAAAGCCAACTATATGGTTAAGGTATGTAGATGACACGTTCATACTCTGGCCACACTGGGAAGATGGACCATGGAGCATGTGAACTCAATAAGACCTTCGATACAGTTCACAATGGAGAAAGAGAGTAACAACACACTCACATTCCTGGATGTTCTACTATCTCGAACAGAACATGGGTTCAAGACATCCGTATACCGTAAACCGACCTTCACTGGACAGTACCTCAATTTCAACTCCCACCATCCATACAGCGTAAAGAAAGGGATCGTCCACTGTTTACAACACCGAGCAAAAATCATAAGTGGCGACCCAGAGACATTAGATAAAGAATTGGTCAGTATAAGTAGTACCCTACAACGTAACAACTACCCTGGGTACATGGCAGCAGCCCCAAAAAACTGGGATACGCGGGTACAAGAGGAGGACAACAACACACAGAAAACAGTCTGCCTGCCTTATGTGAAGGGGTTATCAGAGAAAATACAAAGGATCTGCGGTCCATATAACATCAGGACAACCTTCAAAAGCTTGACGACACTTTGCAGATAACAGGAGAACATGACTAAAGACTGTGTGTACGCTATCCCGTGCAGCTGTGGAAAGAAATATAAAGGGGACACAGGCCGCCCCCTTTAAGGTAAGGCTTCAAGAACACCAGAAAGCTGTAACACGAGGGGAAGTGGAAAAATCAGGCGTGGCTGACCACATATAGAGAGAGAAGGATCAGGTTGAGATCATAGACAAGCAACACCATTGGAAAATTCGTAAACTTAAGGAATCAGCACATATGCTAGACCACAAATATCTCCTGAGCCGACCAAGCATAGAAATGAATACAATATAGGAACCAGTAATAAGGAGTGCCAGAGAAAAACAATGATAACAACAAACATTGCAATATGAACTCTGGTAAAAACATGAATTGATAACAGCAAAAATTGCAATATGAGCACTGGTAAAAATGGTTGCTGAAGACATTAGGTTTATAATACCCAGAAATTCATCCACAGATGGCCTCAAGGATAAAGGCGTTGGTTAGATCCAGTGACGGGTTGTGAGTTCAATACCCGGTTAAGGCAGTGGAGAACTTTCAGAAATTAACACGAGATAACTGATAACTGACATCCATTAAACATGGCACTAGAACAGTCTACCCCAGTGAGCGAAATAAAGGGTTCGGTTCGACATTCCAACCACCTGAAGAAGGCCGGAGCGTACAACGGCCGAAACGTTTGCAGATAGATGATTTGTGGAACTGACTTCCAAGAGGATGTTTCCCCGATCACTACAATCTTAACATGTCCAAGTCCAGGGTAACCGTTATCTTTCCTTCCTATCCGAATAAACTGCCACTTACCAAGTAATCCTATACATGGTTTGTGGAAACTGACTTCCAAGAGGATGTCTCCCTGATCACTACAACTTTAACCGTTATCTTCCACACATCCGCATACGTTGTGATTCTTAATTTGTAACCTTCTACTTCGAATATCAAACTGTAATCCACTACCACTATATGAGCCACTGGGGCACCTCGACGTGGTGTAATGGTTAGAAAGCTTGTCTTACTAGATCAATTACGACTGAGTCGTGAGTTCGATCCTCGCTGGGTGTCACATACTTTCGGCCTTGTGCCACATCTAAGCCGGGCTTAGAAAATCGCTATATCACCCTCTGCGGGTCCAGAATTGTTTTACAGTGCTACCTCCGGATCTTTCGATGAACTAAAAAAAAAAAAAAAAACGAGACTTCATCCTAAAACAATGAATATCTACCATTATAAAAGTGCTCCAAATATTTAAGCTTGTGCCAAACTAAGCTATGTTAATTCTAATATACATTTGGGACAGACCGATTAGATTTGATCCTTACCAGGTGTCTATAAGATTTCATCCTGTACCACAGTGAGTTAAACTGGATACATCCCAGGTAATCGATACGGAATTGATTTTCACCAGAAAGCATAGTGATAAAAATCGTGCTTATGCAATGTTTGGCAAGGACCACTTGCTAAATCAGGGTCCTTGTCCCCAATGCACCCCATTTTGTACGTGTGTTTTAAAAAGTTACGTGTTTTCTCTCAAATTGGCTCGGCTTGAAGTGGCTCCAATGTGGCCACTCCAAGAGTAAAACAATCGGTCCATCATTACTATGCGGCCAATACTGGAAAAGGAAATTGAATTTAGGTTCAACCAACATCTACTTTCTGACACTCGAGGTGGATAATTCTCTTAACGGATTCTCATTTCTGTTCAAACATTTTGTTTTCGTTTTCTTCTTTTTTTTTCTTCTTCATTATCCTCCAACCACTTCTTTATCTATAGTTTGCAGCAACAGATTTCTTTCATCTCATGTGTATTTTTTAAAAACTTTTGTAAATTTATCTGTTTTTACTTTTTTCTTTCGTTTTACTCTCTAAATACATGGCCTTTTTTTCTTCCTTTGCTTCCCATTTCTTTCTTTCTTTCTTTCTTTCTTATTTTCGAAGTCTCTTGTCTTTTCCTTTCCGTTGCTTCTCATTTTTCTTTCTTTGTTATATTTTTTCTTTCTTTCTGATCTTCTTGCCTTCCCCATTCTTTGCTTTCGATTCCTTCCTTCTTTCTTTCTTTCTTTCTTTCTTTCTTTCTTTCTTTCTTTCCCCGTTTCTTTCTTTCTTTCTTTCTTTCTTTCTTTTTTCTTTCTTTCTTTCTTTCTATTTCACTTTTGTTCATTCCTTTCTCCTGCTTTGTTTTTATTTTTCTATCTTTCTTCCTTTCCCCGTTTCTTTCTTTCTTTCTTTCTTTCTTTCTTTCTTTCTTTCTTTCTTTCTTTCTTTCTTTCTATTTCACTTTTGTTCATTCCTTTCTCCTGCTTTGTTTTTATTTTTCTATCTTTCTTCCTTTCCCCGTTTCTTTCTTTCTTTCTTTCTTTCTTTCTTTCTTTCTTTCTTTTCTTTTTGTTGGAGAGAGGAATTATTATTTTTTTTTACCTCAATCTTCTTTACATTTCTTTCTAGCCTGTTTTTTTTTGTTTTCTTTTATTGCTGTTCTTTTATAATTTTATATTTCTTATTTTCACTTTTTCATTCTTTAATAGATTATTTCCTTTTTTATTTAATTGTTTCATTCATTGTTTCTTTATTTCATTCTTTCTTTTCCTTGTCTTTTCTTTTTCATTAATTTTATATCTATTTTCCTATTTTTCTTTCTTTTTTTCATTTTTCGTTCTTTTCTTTTTCTTTATTACTTTTTTATTTTATCTTTCTTGTAAATATTTTCAGGATCTGTTCCTTCATTTTTCGTTTTTTTATTTTATTCCCCTTTCTTTCTTTCTTTCTTTCTTTCTTTCTTTCTTTCTTTCTTTCTTTCTTATTTTCGAAGTCTCTTGTCTTTTCCTTTCTGTTGCTTCTGATATTTCTTTTTTTTTCTTCATATTTTTTCTTTCATTCTGAAGTTCTTGCCTTCCCCATCTTTTGCTTCCAATTCTTTCTTTTTTTTCTTTCTTTTATTCTTTCCTTTTCCCTTCCCTTGCTTTCGATTTCATTCTTTCTTTTCTTCTTCCTTCTTTTTGTTGGAGAGAGGAATTGTTTTTTTCTTTTTTTTTACTTTAGTCTTCTTTATATTTCTTTCTGAACTGTTCTTTTTTTTGTTTTCCTTCATTGTTGATTCTTTTATAATTTTATATTTCTTATTTTCCCGTTTTCATTCTTTAATGGATTATTTCCTTTTTTCTTTCATTGTTTCTTTCTTTCTTGCTTTCTTTCTTTCATTTCTTTCATTTCTTTCTTTCTTTCTTTCTTTCTTTCTTTCTTTCTTTCTTGTTTTCCTTCATTGTTGATTCTTTTATAATTTTAAATTTCTTATTTTTCCGTTTCATACTTTAATGGATTATTTCCTTTTTTCTTTCATTGTTTGTTTGTTTTTTCTTTCTTTCATTTCTTTTTCCTTTCTTTCTTTCTTTCTTTCTTTCTTTATTTCTTTCTTTCTTTCTTTCTTCTTGCTTCCTTTCTTTTACTTCATGTCTCTTCTTTCATTAACCTTTTCTTTTTTCTCTTTCTGGCTTCCATTCTTTTGCGCCATTAATTCTCCTTTCTTCTTCGTTACTATTTCTTTTCATTAATTGTCATTCTTTCTTTATTCTTTGTTCTTTTCTTCCTTCTTTTTCGTTTCTTTTTCTTTCTGTCGCTTTTCTTTCTTTCATTTCCTATTTTCTGTTTACTTTTTATGCGTTTATTTCTCTTTCTTTATTTATCATTTTTCTTACTTTAAATTTATTTCTTTATTTCTAGGAATTTTCTTGTTTTTCTTCTTCCTTTTTTTTACTTTTTCTTATTTTTCTGTCTTTTTTTAAAATTTTCAAACTGTAGTCTGCTCTCGGAGAGACGTCCATTATCCGATCAACTGTCTTTTCCTTATTTGGAGCGAGCGAAAGTCTGTTTTGCGTACCGGGGGGACTTCTACATCTGAAAGTCCCATAGCATTTACTCATGGTGTTTTTTTTTTTTTAATAGAATATTGTCTGGATTATTCACGGTTTGGTCGCAAGCGGACATTTGGCATTTGGGAACATTTCCAAAGAGCTAGTTGCTATGTCTATTTTGAAAGTAAACAGTATGAAGAATTAAGAACTTGTCTAACTTTGTTTTAACACTAAGTCTTGATTGTTTGAAGTTACTCAAACCTCTCACAATTGGTAAAAAGTTTTTAATTAACAATATCTTTTTGAAAATGACCTATATCAAGTGGACTCTGAGGCTCTGCAACATCAAATTCAGTCAAATTAACACAATTATTCGCCATATTTTGCCAGCATTTGTATCTCTGGCCCTTCAACTACTAATAACGTTAAAACAAACGCCACAGAAATGGCCCTTTTTAGTGTATTTTCCCAAACATTTAAACTTTCAAAATGTAAGAAAATTGTTCTCAGGAAGATATTTAAGACGTACTCTGTTCCTTTCATACGCTAAGTTAATCATTATCTGATTTTGTCATCATATTCTTGGCAAAAAAATATCAGTTTTAGACATAATATCCGTTGTATTTATCAGGAAATAATGATCTAGATATCTATCCTTATGTTTTCTGGTGAACTGGTTGCATTTTTGACAGAGAACCTCCCAAACCGAAGTCCTAATGGATTAAATGCAAAATTTAAACTCTTTTCAAGAATTTTGCCTCCTCACTGTAGAGCAGGGTTTCTAAACCTGCTACGTTTTTAATCAGAAATGTAAACGTTTCGTTTAATCCTTCTTTTAAGTACAAATAACATTTATACTGCTCTATAATTGAGCTGAAAATATTTCATGGGTTTTAAAACCACAAATCTCCGCTTAATTCTATCGCATGAACCCAATTTATTGCTATAGCAGAAACACTTTTGAAAAGTTGCCAGCATGGTACTTTTCTTAATTTAAAGAAATGTACACTCGACTATAGGGATTGATAGACTGATTCGTGTTCTACAGCTCATCAAACCCCTTTCAGGTTATTTAAAGCCAGAAAATATGCTTACATTGTGAGATATGTTTTTGGGATAATACTGGTTTAGTGATACAAGTCTTACTAATTAACCCATAGCTGGGGGAGAAGGTGTGGATCCTTATCTTTCCCAATGGTATTTGCGCGAAGGACGAATATAACGAACCCAACGGGAATTGGAACTCGGTTAACAATTCCTAGTCATTATACCCTACACCACCTACACATCCAAGCATACAGCACCTGGTATTCCCAAGGGGTTCGTCCGTCTAGGTACTGACGGGTTTCGACGATGTTTAACTTCGATGATCATATTGGGGCCGGTGTTTCATCGTGATGTGACCGTAAGCCTCCAACTATAAAGAGCAGCGCTTAAATCTCACCTGGAAACGGAAGATAATAAACAAACGACGCGTATATGGAGACCTAATAATTATTTTGTTCAAAGTCGAGTTCGATTTCGTGTTCACAGTTAGAGATATAAACAAGAAACCGTGGATTAGTTTATTTAAAGTGATTCACATTTTATCGAATTGGTCAGTAGTGCTCACTTGTAATCAGATACATCCCTTTTGGAACATTGGAACAACTCATTCAATTATGTGCCATGCTTAGGCGATCAAGTATCTTTCGATACATGACAGGTGAAGCAGATTTTTTTTCCCGATGTAGGTTGCCATTTCTTTCTGCAGTAGACCATTTTGCCATCCTAGTCTATAGAACCCGGTCTGTCCTGCTATTTACCCATAGTTCTAGAAGAAGAAGATTCATACCTTTCCCAAGGGTAATAGCACGTAAGTGAATGGATTCGACTGGAAATTCGAAATCGGCTTTCCGATTCCTCAGTCCGAGCCGCTTATTCATTAATCCAGCATTATGAGAAAAAATGAAAAATTAATCCAGCAAGAGCGTCGATCGTTCAACTCTTAGGATGACACCGGAATCAAAAAAGGAAAGATTGGGTAGAACTATGGATGAGAGGAATGGTTGGAAAGAAGAGGGAGGTAGTGTTCGTTTGAGGAGGATCATATGTACAGATCTTTTTATATCTTTTTTTGTTCCTCCTTTTGAGTCACCCTCTACCCGCTATTTATAAGTGGATTATTTGTATTATATACATTTGAATTAATGTAATCATCTTTGTTATTATTATTACGTTTCGGTACTGTTCTTAATCTAATGGAACGTACACCCGACTATAAGGATTTATAGACTGGTTCATTTTATACAGCTTATCAAACCCCCTGCAGATTACTAGATCTAGAAAAAAAATGTTTGCAGTGTGGGATATGTTTTTGAGATAATAAAGGTTTTGTGATACAAGTTCAGTTTCTGTGATTGGTAGTATCTTAATGTAAACAAAGCAGACAATAAATTCGCAGTACAATTTTTTTTTACAATGATATTCACCTTGCACAAGGCCCAAAAGCCACTCTAGGTAGAGGGTTACATAATAGAAGGAACCGGAAACCCAATTCTAAATAGGAAACTCCCAATACGGGTTTCCGGTTCCTTCTCAACTCTTTTTCATTTTCTTTCACTCCCAGTTTCCTCTTGCGTCTTAGTGGCATTATCATCTTGTTTCGGATGAACTGATTAAAAAAAAAAGTATCTGCGTCAAGAAACGAGCGGCCCAACACGAAAGATGCATTTCAAAAGCTAAGCAAAATATTAAGTAAAAGGCAACATTCGATAGAAACCAGATAAGAACACCGAAGTTCTCCTATATGCCAGTGAATACTGGCCAATCTCCTCACAGATGAAGGGACTTGAGGCAACAGAAATATGGTTCTACAGAAGCATTTTTGAACGCTTTCCTAGAGTAACATCCATTGGGCAAATTAATCGAAACAAAACGAATAATTCTGTTATCATTTAATTTTCTTTCGTATTTTTCCAATGAATCATAACCCAATACCCATGTTAGTACTTTGTACGTGCATTCTACTACGTCATTCCTTTCAAATTGACCACATATTCTCGATTGGATTTAAATCAGGAGAGTTACCGGGCCAGTCGATAGTACTTTGATTTTGGATAACTAATCGACAGTCGAGACAATAGTGTCTGAGCGTGTTAAAATCTGATGCAATCACGGATGATGCAATATTTTTCAAGGTCAAACAAATTTCATCACACACCCCGAAAATAGATTCATATTACTGCAAACCATTGCAAATGATGCAATCTGAGGAAAAAAAACTAGAAATCGATTACACCCTTTCACTCTAATGGGTCTAAAACTGACCGTATGGTGAAAGAAAGGAAACTAAAGCGGTTGTTTCAATTAATTTGCACAAGAGTGTAATTCATATTAGTACGGCTCAGTGCAAAGCTTGGACGCGGAAAGAATATTGTAGTAGTTAAGATGGAGAATGAGAAGATACGGGAAACAAGGTTCAAGAAGTGCAGAATCAGGAGGTAATGGATAATGTTTAGATTTCCATCCGGATATCAAATTCTCCCAGCCTCTTAGCAAAGGTCTTCGAGGCGTTTTCCAAATGATCCCATAATAGTGGATATGTCACTTTCAGTTTCAATTCTCTAGTAAGTTTCAAATATTTCTTGCCATTTTTCAGCTTCTTTCAAATCTCGAGCCTGCTACGTCAGTGACATCTACTACCTGACATTTTATGTTATGTGGTCTGGACCCGGTAAACCAGTTGAATTTCAACATTTTTTTGTACTATTTTTTACCCAATACAAAGACTAAAAGCCACTCAAGGGAGAAGCTTGCTGAATGAGATTGTTGTTAAGGGGGAGAAAGAAGTGCATTTTATGAGGATATGTAGGATAGATATAGGCTGACTCGAGACTTGAAGAATTTATGATTATAGGAGGTGCAGAGGCATCATCTCAGTTTCTTCTACAAAATGACCCTTCTGAGGAAGAAGCTTTCTACGGTGGAACTTCCTCCTTACAAAAGCAATACAAATCGAGTGAGGATGATTTGATATCGTGTACGTAGCATGAAGTAGCTGTGAAGATCTGAACTGGTGAAACTAATGAATATAGTTTGTTTTAACGTTAGCTATAGTAACAACGATAGAGTTGTGGAAGGCTAGCATCATTTTGTGAGTATCAAATGGTTTACATAATTGAAAATAATTAATCACCCACAAGGCCGCGTAATCGCTTCTGAATCTGTCAAAACTGGGCAGTGAGAACTGAGTAACACCAGACGATTGTTATAGTTGTTGATGCTGTTGTTTCTGCATATAACCTAACTTTTTATGGTCAAATCACAATGATTTGCACAGTTCACAGTGGGACACAATTCCCTCCCACTCGTGTCTGCTTTTCTATTATTTTCGAGCGTTTGTTTATATTGGTCTCAGCTCTATTTCAGCAATGGCT